CTCCCCCCCCCCCCCCCCCGCAGGCCCTGAAGAAGGCGATCATTCATTTCCGTCTCCCATTCGATCTCATTCTGCCTCTGACATTATCCTCTTTTGTGAAATGATAAAGGATTCTTCATGATTGTGTACACTGCCAAACGGGGATTGCTTTCCATGTTAGGTCTTATTTAGAGATAATCTGCAATGCAAACAGCAATGCACCAAATGAAAGTTATAAGGAAATGAAAGGGTTGATCCATCCATGCGTCTTGAAATCCATGTTTTGTTCCATATATCTGAGGGTAAATATGAAAAATAAATAATACCCATTTTATAAACCTTATGTGTATTGCTTTACTTCACATCACATCCATTGCAAGTGGACTATGTAATGTTTCATTTTCTTTTGAAAACACCAATTAATTTTCTAATTGCCTTCAGGAGTTTGTGCATTCTAGTGCAAGTCTGGAAAACGCGTTATAAATTATTTCACTTCTTAAACCTGAACGTCAAGAAATCCCGAATGATTGATTTCAGTTGCATGATTTTCTTAAGCGAAGTCTATGACAATAGCAAGACAAGGGAGGCTCACCAACCCCCCACCCCCCTAAAAAACAGCAGACTTACATTACAGGATGAATCAGAGCGTAAGCCTGAAGAAACTGAAGTGTTGAATATTTATTCAGTCTTCCTTGGAAATGAATACTGTACGGCAGTTTTCACAAATGTTGTAGTCAAACAACGTCCTGGCTTGAAATAAATTAATAAAAGATGGAGATAGAACGAAATAGACAAACTTTTAACAGTTATAAAAACAGGATTTCACTTCATGCTGGTTTTAAGGGAGTTTTCAACGAAATCGTTTCCGGTTGCTCACTGAGGGATTTCTCCGCGGTCGATGCTGACATTCTTTCCCCCGAAACATGATTAACGCCTTGAGTTCATAAGCTGGGTTTGGATCACCGCCGCTGCCGTGGAATCCCTGCTGGACCGATCCGCATAAAGCGCCCGTCCGCATTGGGCGCCCGGCTGAAATAACATTACCCCACCGGTTTTACGGGACTGCCGGGCGGCTGTGTGGTTGCTTACCCTGTCCCGATCCTCCACAGCGCTCCATTATAAAATAGTTATTAACGCGTTAATGCCCCGCATCTCGGTCTCAGAGACACCGGGCACCTGTAAAATGCACTGGGAACTTTACAGCGAATGGCCATTAAATTGTCAAAAGCGACGTGCTAAAATGAAATAGAATAAGGCGGAGAGACGTTAGATCATCTGCCATCATTTACAGATCCCTTTACCCATCCTGTCGACAGTGACATATGTTAACTACTTTGTTGTAGCGAGACAACCATCTTTAATCTAAGACGTCCCTTAATTCGAAGTGATTGCTAACAGCTCTTCAATGTTAATATTTAATGTTAATACTCTGCTTATATACCGGCGATATTTTGCGGAATGAACTCTGAGTAATTATACTGCACATGCTATTCTGCATAAAAAGACGGATGATGGATGGATGGAATTGCAGGAAAGTACAGTTTAAGGCTGCAAAAATTAGTAGATCTACTCAAGTAGTAGGGAGAAGCAATCTTTATTACTGAAATGATTGAAAACGCCTTTGGGAAGTGACACAATAACAGAGAATCGGAGCTACTTGAGAAGAATATATATTTTCACATCACATTTACAGCAGAGGGCTGTTCCTCTGTGGCAAGACGGATGCAGCATTGGCACTGCAAGTCACACATGGCTTGGAACAACCTTTGTTTTCCATGTTGAATCTGTTCGGTCAGCTGAGAGTGAAATGTGACCACCTCACGCGGTCTCCAAACATCTGCATCGGGGACGCCAGTGGTCTCCTGACAAAGGAAGCTGGCTGGACCGCACCAGCAAATTCGTATCTCCTGATCTGCATGTTTCTTGATGAAAACACTCTTCTCAGTAAACAGGCCTGTTTACTGTATCTGGTAAAAAACCAGCCTTCACATCTCAATGACCTGAATGCAGCAGGAAGCTTCAGCGACGTTGTCACGGTTACTGGGATGCCTGGTTCTTTGTCCCAGTCCCTGGTGGGTGTGAGGTTGGAAGGTGAATTTTCCTCTCAAATACCAGGCCCCAGGGATACAGCTTTGGTCCCAATGTCCGATATACTCATGCAGTCCCATCTGAACCTACATATCATCAGAAGTGTAGAGTCTACAGTATTTATAGCCTGAGATTGCTGCCAAGGCAAATGGAATTAAAAAATGTTAGATGAGTTTGTTTTCAGTTTTATATTTTCTTAAATTCTATTCCAGTTTTGAAAATATATGTATGTGTGACGCAGGTTAATTTGTTGCCGTTCTTTCAGTTTTTCGTCATTTCTTAACTTTTCTCTGGATCTTATTCCTCGAGATGTTCCAGTGCAGGAGGCATTGGGCATGGTGCTGTTTGTAGACGTGCTGAGAATGGGCGAGGACCGGCCCATGTCAGTGTTCTGCACGGACAGGATGGACAGAGATGACGCCTCATAAATGATCATGTACTGAACTGTCATGTCTCGTGCACTCAGCCGTCCACAAGACAGCAGTAAACTGACAGGAAGTACACTCTCGTGCAGAGGAGAACTTGACTTAATCTCTGTTCTCTCCAGTGAATTAAGATGTCATCTGTATAGCTTTGAACTGTAGCCAGTAAATTTAAGATTTTGAAACTGAATTTACAAGCTCAATGCATCTATATAGGCACTCTGTGTTGGACTGGTATCCCTTCCAGGCTGTACCCCAGCCTTGTGCCTGGAATTGGCTCCAGAACCCTCCTGCAACCCTGACCAGGACATGAGCTGGCAAACAGGTGGGTGGTGCATTGCTTAGCAGGTAAGGACTCTATGCCTGTGATCAGAAGCTCACCAGTTCAAATCCCATAGTCAAAGAAGTAATTCACCATTGGGTGCCTATATACATTTTATGCACTGTATATTTACAGTGTATATAATATATAGCTCACATAGCTTATGTACAGTATACAGTATATGCATTTTACAGAGTATATATATATAGTATCGGTGTGTTACACAGAATGATTACGTGAATGCTACCATAAAACATATATAAATGAAATTTGAGTGTGCACCCACACGTTTCTAAAATGCACTGCTTAAATACTGTTTAACAATGCACCACTGACTTTAGATGTGGTTTTTGTTGGTCAAAAGCACAGTGTCATTTCGCTGCATTAACATTGCAACGCACGGACAATGTGCCCGGCCACGCCTCGTTCAAAAAACACCACTCTTACGAGCGGAAAGCAGGAGCAAAATCATTTGCTATTTTGACGACGTGCGTGCATGGCGTGATAATGAGCAATGCGCTGGTATGAAACTAGCAAAATCACTTTGCCTCACTCTTTCTGCTGGTGCAAAATAGGGCCCAATATGTATGCACCCAGAAATGTTAGTGTAATACCCTGTCACAGAATAGATGGGCTGCTGCAAGCAAACCACTATACTCTGCAGTATCTGTATCCAATCATGGATCATTACTTTGCTACACCATCCATCCCATCCAGAACCCAGAACTTGCCATTTTAAGAATGCAGACTGGAACTGTTTCCGGAAGTGTCCATTAACCTCCTGTTGACGGATGGCTGTTGGGTGCGGGATTACAGCATGGCTCTTGTGCCAAATATTGCTCATTTTATGCCTTACTGTATGTGTGGTAGGCAGTGTTTTTAAAATGGGGACAGAGTGGGGCTAACAAAGTGGATTCATTTCAGCATTTATTATTTCAAACCAGGAGCGAATTATCCAGAGCAGACTGGGCCTAACAATGTTGATTTATTTTAGCATTTAGCATTTCTAACCAGAAATGAAACTGGAACATTCTCAGGTTAACAATGTTGATTTCTTTTTAGCATTTAGCAAACAGCTAATAAAGACTGGGGCTCACTTCGGAGACTGGTATTTTATTCCGCCTCCGCCAATAACGCCGCAGACAAACCGATCCCGTTTAAAGGTCAAAGGTCACAGCTGGGATCTCAGCGCGTGCATATGTGCGGGCAAGGAGCCGCGAAAGTGAAGCTAATCCGAAAACGTGTAAATCCCTCGGTCCCCAGATCATTAGCTCGGTTTGCCAAGATCGCCGCATCCTCTTTTTTTGCCTGAAACACTTTCAGTCCTTTGCCGTTTTTTTCCCTCTTGTCGCTGTTATTGAGGAAGGAGGGGGCTCGTTTATTGGAGTAATTCATCACCTTCATAACATAACAGTGGTCCTTCGGAAAGGCTGAACACTTTTGGAGAGAATTATGTTTTTAGGAATTTAGAAAAAAGGGGGGAAACAGGGATGCCTGCGGAGGAGAGTCCGCCGGGAGTCGTTTGTGTGACACTGTAAGCGCGCAGTGCCGAGGCGCAGCCCGCACAATAAAAACACGCCTTTTAAGTTCTCGGCGCGCGTTTCCCGCTCCGACTTTTGTCAGCTATAAATTGCGTATAAACACGGCCGCGTATCAGCCGGCAGTAAATGCCTCCATAATTCATAAGCGGCGGCCGCCCCGCTAGCATCACGCGAGTCCCGGGACGCGCGTTTCCGCGCGCTCGCCTCGCATTTCAGCTGCCCTTGCACAAAATTGCACGCACCTCGCCGTCGTCCCGGGATCGGCGGGAGGCGCCCGGAAAGCCGGCAGGTGCCGCCGCACATCGATCCGGTCAGGATGACTCTCATCGGGGAGCCGCGGCCAATTGGACTGCTGAGCAAATCTATGCAATACATACAATGCGTATGTTAGCTATATATATACTGTAATTATATAGTACATAAAATTTATATATTTGTTATATGTGCACTGTAAATATACATACACCTGACATGGATTAGCCTGCCATCCTGGGTTGTTCCCTGCCTTGCGCCTGTAACCTCCGGGGTAGGTTCCGGACCCCCGTGACACTGCATAGGACAAGCTGTTTCAGAACATGCATGCATGTATGGATATACATATACATGTACAGTACATGACGTGTATGATATATATATACACTGTAAATATGCAGTGCGTACAATGTGTATGTTCACTATATTTGCACTGTAAATGTATATACCGTCGCTGTCCAATAAAAACCACGCATGTCCACTGCTTGGCGATAGTGACTTTTTAACTGTAGATGGAATTCGCCCATTCTCCCCTGTCTATTGATAGCGTTTGATAGCAAATTGACCAATGCAAGATGTTTCATGAAATCATCTATTTGAATAGTATTTATGTTTGTACTAGTTAACATTTGTATTCCTGATGGTCATCTGTGTGGATGTATGCCTAATTTTAACAACATAAAGATAGCTGGGTAGGTAGCTAACTATTACCATTGTTAATATATAATGTGAGATTACTTTGTATCTTGACACTGATGTATTTGCCTTGCTGGCAACAATCCACGAAAGTCCATTTCAAACATTAAACCGTTCGCTAATGGCACTGTAAAGATCGGCTTCTATTTGTGCCGCAAATGGCATGGCACACTCACACACCAGTCTCTCAGACATTCATACTTATGGGCAATTTGGCTGCACGATACTTAGGTTCTTATTATAAACAATATATACAACATGTGCAATTCAATTTATTTTTATATAGTGCCTTTTGTGACACAGTCGCTCAAAGGCACTTGCAAAAAGTGTGTAGCAAACCATGACTGCATGATTTACACAAAATATATGAGACAGCCCCCCCACACACACACACACACACGCACGCACACAATGCTTTTGTTCCACTGAGCGCTGTTCCTGAGAAACAGTGAACCCTCACACGATGACTCCGAGACCATCACTGGAACCCCAGCGGTAAATTCCCCCTCCCTCTGGCGTAACGGCCCCACTGAGCGGCCAGCATGGAGATGCCTCGGGGCCCGGACCAGGCTGAATGGGGGCAGCAGGCGCCCTCTGGATCCTGGGCTTATCAGACAGAGAGATGGAGACGGGAAAACGAGGCGAGGAGGCTCCGTGATCCGTGGATCCGAGAGGGGCTGTCAGGATCGTGATCAAAGTGCCTTTCTGGGGGAGAATCAAAGCAAGTGTGGGTGGTGCACTGGCACTCGTGTATATTATACTCAGTGTACGTTATAAATGGGGGGGTGTTTCAAGTCTCCCTTCTTTCTTTTTCCTTTTTTTTTCATCCCGAAAGCGCCGGCTGTCAAACGGGCTGGCGAGTACAGCGAGGCCGTCTCAGACAGTCGCTGACGACGAACAGATTGAAGGGGACGGATGTTCGCTAAACGTGGCCCCGCGGCGGGTGCTCCTGGTTCGTCGTGAGGAGGAATGTAGGAATTGGGCCTCATGGAGGCCTGAGGAGGGCAGTGGGGGCGTCTCTCGGCAAGGGGGCCCTTTGGCCTTCGCAGCCTCTGCTTCCTCCAGCATGGGCACTTTGTTGAGTCGGCACTAGAGCGAGACCGGTTCGGGCTTAGGGAATACAAAGTGGGGGTCGTGCCAGGGTGGGAGGAGGCCATTGGAATTGGGGGGGGGGGGGGGGCGGGAAGGACTGTTCACAGCCCCTGTTCCTGTGTAGAGGCAGAACCCCCCTGCATGCTGAGAGGGCAGAACAATGTGTCTGGGCCGTGTGAGGCTGACAAAGAGCCCAGCTACTGGGACGAAGCATCTCAGCCACTGAGAATACACACACACACACACACACTCAAACAGAGTCACACACACACACACTCAAACAGAGTCACACACACACTCAAACAGAGTCACACACACTCAGAGTCACACGCACTCAAACAGAGTCACACACACACTCAAACAGAGTCACACACTTAGAGTCACACACACTCAAACAGAGTCACACACACACTCAAACAGAGTCACACACACACTCAAACAGAGTCACACACTTAGAGTCACACACACACTCAAACAGAGTCACAAACAGTCACACACACACTCAAACAGAGTCACACACTCAAACAGTCACACACACACACTCAAACAGTCACACACACAATCATGCAGTCACACACATACACAGTCACTAACTTACAACAATACACACGTACACTTACAATTACTCTCATAGCCATACATGAACCGTCTTGTATGCAGACTTGTGTATACAGTCATAAACTTTCAATCAGTCACACACTCATAGACACACACTGCCAATCACACACCTATACACACACATAGAAGCAAACTTCCACATATACATGAGCATCTCCATCCACATATCTGTGCAGTTTGTGAACAGATGTAGTATTCTTAACCTGCCAACACCGATATACAAAGACAACAGGCCGCTTCTGAGCGTCCTGCGATAAGAGAAACCTCGGTGGAAAGCAGCGCCTGTAGGAACCTGTGTACGAGGTGAGGGTGTCACGTGCCAACCTGCCTGGCGGACAGCTGGGCCGTCCTGCAGAGCGGCGAGACTTACACAGCGCTAAAAAGCCAGTTTCAAAGGCAAAAGAATAAAATACGTTTAGCATGACTAAATCTCATTCCTGGCTTTGAACTCTGACCCAGAATCAAGCCACTGCCAGCTGTCAACATTTATTGAGTTCTGGGAATACTACTGATAAACTGGTTGGAAAAGTTATGGTATTCTCCGAGGATGACACAAAAAGCTATGAATTATTTCCAGAGATAGTTGCAGGGATTTTTCCTCTGCAGCTTGACCTCTCAATACCTGGCCTTTAATTATCAGGGCTTGCTACTGTTGTTGCTGACGCTGAAGTTCTGTTTCCGAGTTGTAGTTTCCTGAACAATATTTGCATGCATTGACACCAGCATCATTATGAGATTTAGACTAATTTGCCTCTTTTTTGCCTAAGAGGAAATCTGCTAAATATATGCACAGTACTAGGATGTTAAATACTGCTGGTACCTTATTTTGTGTTAATAATGACAATACCAGTGTGATGGCGCTGTTGTTGTTTTTTTTTCCTCAAAATAACTTGATCAGCTGAGAGTATTTTTTACCCAGAGTATTACCCAGAGTATTACCCAGAGTATTACCCACATTTTTGTAGAAGCACTAGGAGGAAGAAAGAAACAAAAAAAAATACATAACCCCCCCCCCGCCACTAAGATAGATTTAAAAATAAGAGACAAGCAAATCAAAGCCTTGCTATTGGCCCTTGAATACCTTTAAGGAACTGCACTGAATGGATGGCAAATTATTTTTTCATCCTTTTCATTTTGACGCTCTTTTCTTTTTCATGTTCTTTCCCGGCGAGGACCTCTGTGAGCACGCTGTAGAGATCTCAGTCCATAAACATGTGCATCATTGTTCCTTAATAAGGGCCGTCATTGTTTGTTTGCCCTGGTCCCCACTCACTGAGTCGCAGAGAGCCAGCCCTCTGTAGATGGACGAACAATAGGCTGTTCTCATTGGCCGGTGCTGACAAGCCCAGGGAGCCTGTGTGTGTGTGTGTGTGTGT